AAATGGAAAAGAGGAATAAGGGAGGTTACATGGGATAATCTAAGGGAATAGGCTGAAGATTTGTCCTTCCCAAATCTAGTGGGTCCCATCCAAGGGTTATACCCTTATTAATGGCTTATTAGTACCCATAGTCGAGTGCATCGGGATCCGGGGGTTGAGATAAATTTTCAAAGATACCGATGGATTTGATTTAATTCAATGATTTCAAAAACTCAAACGGATTAATTTTGGAGTTACGTAACTCCGGGAAATCGCGTTTGAAGCTTTGCGTCTAAACGGCTCACGGTGTCCGCTTTCGCGACTTTTGTAAATATTTTTACTAAAAATATTTCGAATATGAAATTAAATAATATGCTATAGTCTGATTCCAAAAACGCTCTCAGAAATCTCGTCGGTAATGCATAAGTACCTCAACGGTGTGAAATAGTTTTCTTAAAACATGTAAACCTAGTGTTATACCGGTTTGGTTTCTTAAAACTGTCGTATCTTTTGCATATGAACTCCGTTTTGGACGTTCTTTATATTTTCGGAAACAGGGAAACATGTTCTATCATATTTTAATGTTTTCTTTACTTAAAACTGCTTAATGAAAATTTTCAGTTTTTCAGACACATTAATTAACGTTGTAGTTTAAGAAATTTGATCTTTTAGTCGATTCATACATTTGGAAGAAAAGTATCGGCTAATACCATATAAAATGTAATTGAAATTGTTTATATTTCCTTAGATGAAATAAAAACCAAACGAGTTAGGTTACTAGCGGATTTTTTCCGTAATTTAGTCGTTCATAGTTTATGTCCTAAATTTCGGGATGTCACAAAGTAACTCGATAATATGGCTCTCATGCTATTTTGATAATATTTTCATGTGTTTGTTATAATTATATTATTTATTTTTTCATTTGTAATAATCACATGTCGAGATCCATATATTATATCATATGTAGTATGATAGATATGACGTATATCTATAATTGGAGGGACTAAACCCATGTGATTTTAAAAATCCCCATAAATTATAAAACTTGTTCACTAATACATAGTAAAACGTATAATTCATGACTGATATTTGTAACGTCTCGAAAATCACAAGGTAAAATTTTCATTTTTATTTCAAACAAAACACTAGTTATCTGTTATTCAAACATTCAAAAGTAATTTATAATAAAAGAGTCATCAAAGTACAATCCCAAAATCATTACAATGTGGAAACATGGGTGGATGCAGTGCAGTCATGCCAGATCCTAACATTTTGAACTGGGCGTACCTAAAACCATAAACAATAGGCAGTAAGCACAAAGCTTAGTGAGTTCCCCAAATACCACATACCATACATACAATATAGAGAATGCTATGTGCCAACCATAGTCTTGCCATTATGCCATGAGTCGCATCATGGTCTTTCCTTGCCAGGACGAGAGCCAAAACCTTGGGTCATACAATCAAGTGTTAGGAGCCACTTCTTGGTCTTCCATGCAAGCATCATAAAGAAAACAAGCATACTATCTATACACATAAACTATCTATCTATTTGCCAGGGTCCAATCCCTGGTCTTGCATATAATTTGCCAGGAGCCACATCTGGGTCTTTCATACAAATGACAAGAGCCACCTCTGGTATTCCTATATCTCACAAGCCAATGGGCCGGCATTGATGCCTTCCACCCATAGTATAGTGAGGAGACTCACCTCAAGCTGTTGAATATCATAGACAAAAGCTCGGACTGCCGATCCGGAAAATCCCAACGCTAACAACATCAAATAACACCAAATAAATAACTGGTCCTCCACCTATAGCTAGAAACCTAGACCGATTGCCCAATACTCAAGGTAAAAGTCCATTTTATCCTTTCCTCATTTAGCCCAACATCCGAAGCCCAAACCAATAACAACAAAAGACCAATATGGCCCAATTTCCAAATTGGGCCCAAAACCGATCATGGGCCTAATCAAAGAAGGCCTAATTTCCTAAAAGACCCAAAATATCCATCGGTCAACTCTGGTCAAACTTCTGGCCAATGGTCAAAGGTAAAAAAGTTAATAAGTCAAAGAAGTCCATACAGACTGAGTACGCCCTGCGTAGTCAGTTGGTACACCCAACGCACTACGGATCTTGACCAGCCTACGAGGGTTTGACTCAGTGCGTGATACGTACCAAGAGGTACGCCTCGTGTACACTACATGCTCTTAATCCATCTAGAAAAGGTCTTAAAACTTTAAGCCAAAACGTCAAATGCTCAGAATTACTTCCAAAATATGCCTTAACTCATAAAGTCGTTAACTTTGAGCTTTTGCATGGCTCAATTGGTCCCAAATCCAAATCCTAACTTTACAACTTCAACAAGGAGCTCATACATATGCATGGGTAGATATCAACCATCAAGATTACATTTTTACGCATTTGGTACACCTAAAACGTCCAGATCTAGTGACCAAACTCATCCTCATAAAGACAAACCAAAGAGACCAAAATGTGCCATAAACCACCCCAAACTAGATACACCCAAGGAGATGTCAAGATCAGAGGTTTTTACCTTCAATAGTTTGCAAAAGATGTGTAACTTCTGGATCTCCAAGCTCCACTCCAAGTGATGATTCTTCAATAACATTCTATCTCTTCAAATTACACAAGAACACATCAAGATTCCTCACAAGAGCTCAAGAACTTAAAGATGGTGGCTAGGGGTCGAGATTAGGGTTTAGGAGGTATGGAGGTTGATAAGAGGCAAGACCTCATGAACACAATGAGCTTAAATAGGGGTAAGACCCTAAAAATTAAGGTTTCAAGCTGAAGGGAGTACACCCTGCATACTCCTGAGTACACCCGACGTACTCAAATGCCACATACGATCAATTCTTCCACTACACACTGCATACTCAAGGAGTACCGAAATTAAACCCAAAATTCATAAAGTCCTGAACTGCCCATTCACGGTTATACCCTTGGGCTCCGAAACATAATCGAACACTTGGATCACCTAATTTATAATATCCACATCCAAAAAGGGCTAATTCTCTCTTCCCCCAAGGTCTGAAGCCTTATGATAGCTGATAATCGGGTCATGGCCTCGAATAATGAAGCGATTCGAAACCGGGTGTTACAATATTACATCGTTCGTCCTTTTATATTTCTTAGATTGTATGGTGTGGTGTGTATTTTGTCGTTGGTATTCCAACGTGGCAGCTATTGTCGGCGGTAAACACCACCCCTCATTTTTTTTGTCTCAGTGGCAATGAGAGATTCATCTATGTAGAATGAAAGTGTGTCTTGGAACCTACCTATTTTTAATTAAAAGAGTAAAATATACATGAAAAAAATTGGAACCTAATCTTTTAATTTTTCAAGGATATGCCTTATATACTTTTGCAAAACAAAATGTATAAAAAAATGTCTAAACCCCATATTTTTATTCAAATTTTTTTAAAATAACCCCTTGCTTAAAATGTAATAGCCCAAATCCATTTAAAATTAAACAAAAAAATAGCAAAAGGCTTGAAACAGAACGTCGCCCGAACTGTACGTGAATTATGATTGACTGATTGACATCTCCTCTAGGCTCTAACGCATCAATATTGATCGCTCCCTCCAGCCACTAGTTTCGTCATCCAACGTGTGACCCTGTTATTTTTTGCTCTCATCTTTTTTAGTTTCACTTACATAAGAAACCTTATGGTTTTTGGTACAATATTCACCGCTGACAGCAATCATCAACGACATATTCTGGTCGATGGTCTCTCTCTTTCTCTCTCACACATACAATTGATAGACAATAAGGGGGTGTTTGGCTAAGCTTTTTAAAACAACTTATTAGGTTTCACACCAGTATAAGTTAAAAAAGTATTTGGATGAAAAATAACTTATTCCGGTAGGAAACCTCTAATAAATCATTTTTTCATAAGTTACCATACACTTACTTATTAACTTATAAGCTAATAAGCTAATATAAGTTGATAAGCAATGAGTTTTTTTGCCAAACACCATTAAATGGCATCACACCTACTCATAGGCAGTGACAAATCCACAACGAAATCTAGTCGAGGTCCAAAAAATATATAAAAATATAAAATTTTGAAAATTTAATGCATATTTGGGTTTCTTAAGTAAAAACGTTTCAATGAGGATATTTAATATTGAAATGGGTGCGAAAGAAAGGATTTTTAATAAAATTCACATTTCTGGAGATCTATTTGGTAGTAAAAATGAAGTGGGGGGGTCATACACCGGACCTAAAAAGGGTGCATGCTAATGCTCATCGGCAAAACATAACAAATATTGCTCAAATTTTGATAGACAAAATCATACCCTTTACCTTTAGTATCTCTACACAAACATCATTATCTGTTGTATGAAAATCCATCTGGATTATTGAAGTTTCACATGTCTTTTGCTGTTTAATTAAGAAATTAACGGAGCATAATTAGGCAGTTATATATTTTCTGGTTCTCATTATTAAACTCCAGTGATGTCTAAACATTATGGGTGTTTATAGTTCACATGACTCATCCTTTTAGCGAGCGTTTTTCACCACTCTTCAAATTATCAAAATGCATGATGATTAAAAGCAACGCAACATTTATAATATGTGTTTTTCACTTTTCTCTTGAGTGTAAAAAAACACAATAAAACCCATGTCATGAAATTACCTCCGACAACATAACTTAGGCCTGTTTTCAGACCCAAGAAGGATAATTTAAGAGAAAGATATATCTGTACAGCATAAGTTACAAATCATTACAATACAATTTGTTCAGGAATAGCCAATTATTGCTCTGGAAAAATGGATTTCCCCCAACAGCTGCCATGTGCCCCATGCAAACACTACAAAAAAAAAATCACACCCACATGATAAGTATCACCTTATGATCATCATTTCAATTCAAATTATATGTGTATATAAATGTATACACAGTTCATGCGGGAAAAAGAAGAGCAGTTGAGTTGTGCCAAGCTAATCTTCAAATTAAATTCCCTTCACCGTTTTCTTTCATCAGAACCCATCAATGGATTTTTCGGTGGAGTCACCCGATGTTGGTCACCGGAAAACCCAATACACAATCAAAACAAAGAATGTTTCATATGTCGTATCTCCGACATCTTGTAAATTTGGCTGGATTTTCCAGAAAAAGGTGAATCCCACCTTAAAGAAGCAGATTCTTAGAGACGTCAATTGTGAAGTGAAGCCAGGAGAAATCACGGCAATTGCTGGTCCAAGTGGCGCCGGAAAGACCACATTGCTCGAGGTTCTCGCCGGAGTTATTCCTCCGTGCAGAGTCTCCGGTCATGTGCTTGTAAACGACCGGCCGATGACCCCGACCGTTTTCCGGCGAGTATCGGGATACGTAACTCAAGAAGATTTACTGTTTCCGCTTCTTACAGTCGAAGAAACCCTACTCTATAGCGCTCGTTTACGTCTTCACGGTGGAATCGACAACTCAAAAGCTCGAGTTCAAGAATTGCTGGTGGAGCTAGGGTTATGCCATGTTGCCGGAGAACGAATCGGTGGCGGCAGCCACCGCGGGATTTCTGGCGGCGAAAAACGCCGGGTGTCAATCGGTGTCGATCTGGTTCACAATCCATCCGTTTTACTAATGGACGAGCCCACATCTGGACTTGACTCGGGTGCAGCTCTTCAAGTCATCTCAATGCTCAAATCAATGGCTGAAAATCACCAAAAAACAATCGTTTTAACAATCCACCAACCCGGGTTCAGAATTCTCGAACTATTCGATCAAATCATGTTGTTAGCCGATGGAACCATGGTTCACCACGGCTCACTTGATTCCCTTGACCACCGGCTCAAGTCCGCGGGCCACCACATCTCCCGCCAAGTCAACGTCCTCGAGTTTTCAATCGACGTGATTGAAACCCTAATCCCAGAATCAAAAACTTTCGATCTCATCGAACCAAAACCGGAATCCGATTGCATAATTCAAGATTGTCATTTACAGTACGCGAATAGCCCGCTCAGTGAAATAGCAATACTGAGCGAGCGATTCGCGTACAACATTTTCCGAACGAAACAACTTTTCGTCACGAAAATCTTCCAAGCTTCCCTAGTTGGGATTCTACTCGGTACGATCTTCCAAAACATTAAGCAATTTCAAATGCAAACCCAAATCGGGTTTTTAGCATTCAATTTAACGTTTTTACTCTACTCATCATCCGAAGCTCTCCCTATTTTCTTACAAGAACGTAGGATTCTAATGCGGGAAACATCTATCGGTGCATACCGGGTTTCATCTTACTCTATCGCGAATACTCTCGTGTTCATCCCGTTTCTTTTTATTGTGGCACTGTTATACACCATCCCGACTTATTGGCTAGTTGGATTGAGAGCCCAATTAGACGGGTTTTCTCAATTTTTGCTAATCGTTTGGTTGGTTTTACTCATGTCGAATTCTTTTGTGGCATGCTTTAGTGCACTTGTTCCCAATTTTATGATCGGGATCTCGGTGGTTGCGGGGTTAATGGGGTCGTTCTTTTTGTTTTCGGGGTATTTTATATCGAAAAATGATATACCGAGGTACTGGATTTTCATGCACCATTTGAGCTTATTTCGGTATCCATTTGAGTGTTTTTTGTTGAATGAGTTTGGGGGGTCGCAGGGGAGATGGCGGTGTCTTGAGCGGTTGGATGGCGGGTGTTTGGTTTCCGGTGAAGATTTCTTGAAGAAGGAGAATTTGAAGGAGGTGCAGAAATGGTATAATTTGGGAATGATGTTGGTGTTCATCATTGGGTATCGGTTTCTTTCGTTATTGGTGTTAAGTTATAGATCTTACAGGAGCGGAAACTAGAAAAGATGATGTTTTATAGTTTTAGAATCCAAGCATAGTATTAGGTTGTTTCTTGTTGTTCAAACCTATATATTATGTGTTGTTTGTTTTTGAGTTAATGACTTGTGGAAGAGTTAATCCAACAAGTTATATATTAGTGTTTTCTAAGAATTTCTTCTATCATAAAGTGTTGTTTGGATGAAGTGTTTCCTGAAAGTTTGTTTAAAAAACATAGAAAATGAAAGCAATTTTGGGGGAATTGAACAAAAAATAAAGATGAAATTGCAAAAAATGATTCATGTGGTTTTTTTCAAAAAGTTTTATGTTCGTAAAAACTTTGAATTAAAAACGTTACACCGTAGATCCTTATGTTTTCAAAATCTTGTGCGGTTAGTCTTTTGTTTGTGTAACTATGTTAGTCTTCTCAACTATGTTAGACAATCAGACGTTAGGTCTGAGTAAAATGATCAAATTACCCTTAATAGGATTAAACTTTTTACAAATTTGCTCGAAAGCTTTTTTTCATTCCATTTACCCAAAGTGTTACGTCATTTTCTGAAATATTCTTTCAACATCCATGAGTTAACTAAGGAAGTAACAATATATAATAATGGTTTGTTTGGAAAATGCAAATTAAAGACGAAAAGACTGCATATGAAACATTTCTATCGAATTATTGTAAACCCGATGAGTCATGGTGAAACATTACAACACGTGGTCTTTTTGTCAGAGGACTTTAAACTTGAGTGCAGATTACCTCCAGTGAGGTTTAAAAGAAGCAATGAAGAATGTTGTAATGAATGAATGGTTCCAAAATGGGTCCAGAAACAAAATAAAGTCAACAGAAGGTTTCTGACATTACAAAGTCAATTTTGTTTGACTTCTCCACTTATGTCCTCACTGTTTTCAGAATCACATTCAATATTTTCACCAATTTCAAAGTTCCTGAATTGGATGGTTTGTTCTTCTACCTTAAATAAGCTTCAATTTTCTGTCATTGTTTCTTTGATAAAAAAAACATTATTAATTAAAGGGATGTGGGTTTTCATGGCGAATTCAAGAATCAGAATAGTTTGGGTAGGCGTTGTTTGTTTTTTTTATAAAAACCTCTTCAAACCATTTATTGCTGCGCGGCGCAGCACACGCGCAACACTTTCCCTCTCGCAGCAGTTTGTTTTTTGGAAGGCTTCAGACTACAAAACCTCTGTGCGTGTGCTGCGTGGCGCAGCACTTGACTTGCCTCTTCTAACCTCTTCAGCTTTCATTTTTTCCAAGTGTTTTTTTAAGAATTTTTGTATAACTTATTTTTTTTTAAACTTTGATTTTTTTAAATTTTTATTTACGGATGTGATACAATTTATTTTTATAGTTTCCACGATTTTTTTTAACTTGATTTTTTTTATTTTTTTACCGTTTCTATTAATAATATTTTCAATTTCAGTTGCATCTTTTTTAACATGTGTAATTTTTTACGAACTTTGTAGACATCGTTTGCAATACTTTCTTAATTTTTTTTATTATTTTCTTTTTTTAATGTTTTTTAAAATTAGTTTTTTTCTAGAATAAAACTATTAGCTTCTTTTACATTTTTTAAGTTTTTTTTTAAAAAGAAGTTTTATATTTTTGTTTTTTTACATGTTTCTTTTATTATTATTTCAATGTTTTAAGACTAGAATTATTAAATTTCGGTGTTGAGAACTATTTTCAGTTTATAAAATTAGTTTATTTAAATTTCAGTTTACTGCAGCAATCTGCAGATGTTAAAAAACAACATGCTTCTTATTATAGGCTGCAGCCGTTTGTTACACCTCTTCTGCTACAGAGGATTGCAGAGGTGGTCCGCAGACTTCATGAATTTTCGCTTCGAAAAAACAAACAACACCTAATTCTACATTTATCTTGCTAATCCTTTCCATATCACGTAACACTCATAACATTGGCCCCAAACGATCAAAGAATCAGCAGTACTAAAAAACACACATGAAGATGAACTCACATTCTAAGGTGTTGTTTGGTTTGGAAGTGGTTAAATGTCTTTTCTCTTTTTCCATGTTTACGGAAGAAAACGTGCACTTGAGAAACGTCTACCCGCCAGAAGAGAAAAGTGCTCAAAAAGTACTTTTGTAGAAAAACAAACGAGGCCTAACTAACTTACCCTAACAAATATCACTTGAAATTTTGTAACATAAGACAAAGATATTAACTGTTATTCGTCCTTGTTAGACAGACACTTTGAAGAAAATACAAAACCACTACTCATAGAACATTTGTACAAAGCCGGAGATGTTAAAAAATCAAGGGATACTAGATGAAGTAAAGAGCAATGTGCTTTCATTGATCTATGTATTTTAGCATCATACTTCAATTTTTTTCGATTACAACATTGAATTTAAAAAAATCTATCCAGTTGTAGCAATGAAAGTTTTGTTGTATGTGGATGAGATTGCCATAATTTGGTATAGATTTTACGAATTCCTATGGTGTATTACGAAGAAATTAAAATATGTTGCTACAATAAACAAGTTAATCTAAGTATGTTTGCTATATTGTGCCTTTAACCAAAAAAATTAATAATAAAATGCACAAGTTAAAATCTATAAAATATAGGATTAAATGCAAGAAACCACAAAATACTTTTATTGATTTGTTTACTATAGCATACTTCTTTCATTTCTTCCCATTACAACATTGTATATTAAAGAAGATATCAAATTATAGCAATGTTAAAAAATACAATGCAATTTTTACTATCATAATTGCATAATTTTTTAAAGTACAATGTTCTAAAAAAAGAAATTAGTACAACGCTAAATTAGGGGTTTTCCTTTTTAATACAAAACAGTTTGAAACTACAATGCTATAATAAAAAGAAATAGAAGTATGATGCAATCATGCAATAATATTGTTACGGCCCGGGATCTAGATCTCGTGCTGCTCCCCGCGGGAGTCCGGGTCGTGTCTCAGTCCCAGTGTCGTTGATCATCTGAAAAGAAAAGCTAAGCATCATTGGCTTGGTCAAGGCTTTAACAGGACATTGTACTTCTTGTGCTTCCTGCAGCCGTGAGTATTACTAACGCCTAATCTCCTATGATAGGAGACTAGCTTAAACTATTCTAAGAGATTAAAAGCAATTGACTTCAAGCATAATTTCATTTCATGAATAACTACCCTTTAAATAGGGATAAACAAAAGACTCTAATATGGAAACAAAGATCCCCCAAATCGACTCAAATACTAAATGATCCTAATTACTAAATTTAAAAACTGAAACAAGATAATTTCCTAAAATAAGATACTTTCTAGAAATTAAAAATACTTATTATCCGTATGATTCATAACATTACTCCTCTCCTCCTCATTAAGCTTGTCCTCAATCTCAATAGTCACCCATTAGTGTCATTTTCCTCATTGTCCATCATGATGCAAAAGAGTCTGGCGCATTTATGCCCAACCGAGAATATTTCATCACAGTTGAAGCAGAAGCCTTTTGCCTGCCTCTCTGCCATTTATGCAGTCGTTAGTTTTTTCCAAGTCGGATTTAGTGTTCAGTTTTGTAGTTTCCAGCTCCTCCTTTTCCTGTTGACTCTCATTTTTGGCTTGCAACCGAGGTTTGGTTTCTGTAGGCCCAACACCTATTGGTTGTCCTGCTACCCTAAACTCAATTTGTCTGGCTAGATTCATGGCATAGTATAGAGTTATGGGTCTCGCAAATTCAACCTCATATCTTATCACGTTTATTAGCCCCGCACAAAAGTGTCAAATGATTTGCTCCGGTGTAACCCCCGTCGTCCTACCCAACAACAATTCGAAGCTTTCACAGTACTCTTCTACCGTCCTAACTTGTCGAAGCCGAGTTAATTCCCCTAAGGGATTCAAGCTCATAGGCGAGCCGAAACGGATTTTGCATTCTTCTGAAAACTCGACCCAATTCAAATGATTTTTCATCCTTCTCAGGTTTCAGTACCACCCGCTTGCCCGACCCTGTAGGGCGAAAGTTGCTTGGCGGACCCAAGCCTCCGGCGGTGTTTGCTGCTCTTCGAAGAAGTCATCCTCACACTTCTGTAACCATTCGAGTGGGTCACCCTTGCCCTCATATACCGGAAACTCCATCTTGGCTAATCTAGACACCCGATTGTCAGGCACCCGATCGCCACGGTAACCTCCTTCATCAAATTCATCCAAACTTTTATGTACATGTTCTTGTTCAATACGCCGATGGGTCCCGATCCTTCGGCTTTGTGGAAATCTGGTGGTTGTCGAGGCCAACAAAATTAATAACCCTAATTATTACACACTAAAATAGTGTATAGTGGTAAAGGGATCGAATCCACGGGGATTGGTTCAATTTAATAACTCTACGAAAAATCTCTTTGTAAAAATACTTGGAAAATGACAATAAATTAAAACTGGGGGTTTTTGTGTTTTGAAATACTTGAAACAAACTAGAATTAACTAAGATTTAAATAGACAATTTCAACAAAAATAAGAGTTTGATGTAAAATCAATAAGAGAAGGATGGTTGACTTAAAGTTTCCTCACTTTGACTTTTGATGAACATATCATTAGAATCAAATGGTGCAATACTTGTTTTAAACCCTTAATTTGGCTATAGTAATCCAAGGAGCTTGAGATTACCTAGACTTTTCTTAATTGTTGAAATGGTTAGAGAAGCTCATAACAATTTCCTTAGTTAAAGTCACTAATTCCATTAAGCATGTAATTAGTGAAAGTCAACTAGCATTAAGAACCAAAAAAGTCACCAAATCCAAGAGGGGTCAAATGCTTTCACCACCATGTTGGAGAAAATGTTTTTATGATTGTGTGAAGTAAAACTAACACAAGAATCACTTGTTGCTTGCTAATTTGAAGATCATTTACTTAATCAAGAAATTAGCCAACTAATCACCACAAACACATTTAAACTCATGAATAAAAACATGCAAGTAATGATAAGATGTTAAAACACAAAACATTTTCATAAAGATTCAAACACAAATTCATGGATTCTTCAATATTCAACA